GCTAAACGTAACCACGTGTGTGTGTTGGCTAAACATAACCACGTGTGTGTGTGTTGGCTAAACATAACCACGTGTGTGTGTGTCAGCTAAACGTAACCACGTGTGTGTGTCAGCTAAACGTAACCACGTGTGTGTGTGTTGGCTAAACGTAATCATGTGTGTGTGTGTTGGCTAAACGTAACCACGTGTGTGTGTTGGCTAAACATAACCACGTGTGTGTGTTGGCTAAACGTAACCTCGTGTGTGTGTGTTGGCTAAACGTAACCTCGTGTGTGTGTCGGCTAAACGTAACCTCGTGTGTGTGTGTTGGCTAAACGTAACCTCGTGTGTGTGTCGGCTAAACGTAACCACGTGTGTGTGTGTTGGCTAAACGTAACCTCGTGTGTGTGTCGGCTAAACGTAACCATTTGGACTTTTGCTGCCTTAACTTGCGACCTTGTCCCGCTGTGTTTTCCCCTGATGCCGCCATAATAACTATAATGGCATCTGGTCACATATCATGCTGATGTTAAAGGACGCCGTTTTTTGTTTCTGACACCGCAAGTCACTGCCTAGGTGCTGTATTTCAGAGTGAGACTGGGCTCACCTAAATATAAAATCAAGTCGTCTGCATATAAACTGAGTTTTTTTTCTGCCTGTTGTGTGTTTGCTCTGGTTTTTATGAGCCAAAATTTTAAATCCTGATAAAACTAACAGATGTGATCAAGGACGAACTGTAACAACACCTCCTGTTAGAGAGTTTAAAATCTAACAGCTGCTGAAACTTTTGTTCGTACAGTCTGATAGTCTGTTGGACTGTTTGTTTGACTACTGTCAAAATTTACAAAATTAAACATCATATAAATAATATGATGTCATGTGTTTGAGTGTTAGTCATAAATCTTACGTCTGGGACGGTGTCGTTGGGACAGATTTTACCCTGCGGGAACAAACAGTCGACACAAGTTCCCTTTTGGAGAGAAGAGACAAAGTTCAGTTGGTGTCAGTGTGAAACTACTCACAGTCACACTGATAATGACATGTGATGTGACATGTGATGACCTCACCAGGACTTTGTTGTACGTGGCGTCATCACAGCGGTTCCTGTTGATGTTCAGGACAGCCGACAGGCCGTGGATCACTCCTTTACCACTCAGGATGTTGGAGGAGTTTATCTGAGCCTCGTTCACAAACAGCTGATGAGAATCACACACACACACACACAGGTCAGATCGTATCGATCAGCTGATCATGTGATCATGTGAGAGATTATTGATCAGACCTTTCCGTCTCGGGGAAAGATGCCGAGCTGGAAGGAGAATCCAAGCAGCGTCTGTTTGTACCCTCCAGACTGAAGGTCGGTCTTCAGCAGACGCTCCGACGCCACCACATGGTAACGAGTCGTATTCACATCCTGTTTACGCCATCAAAATAAAAGCACAGACACATTTATGTACACATCACAGCTTTCAATCACTGCTTATACTTTATTTTTGCTTCATTTGGACCAACTTGACTTTGTTAATCCAGCATCAAAATCTTCCTGAGAAGTTGCTCATGAACAAAGAGAAGATAGAAAAATATTTTTTTTCACTGCATTAAATGCAGAACGTTTCTAAAGTGACGTAGTGCCTGAGCTGACTGTGTCATCAGCAGGTGGTGGGGATGGTGGATGGTGTGACACCTGGAGAGACACCTGGAGAGACACCTGCAGACACTGTTCAGCACCAACAAACTACTGAACCAGTTGGGTTTTTTTACAGACATTTTGCTGTGTTTCCAGTGGCTTTTTAGCCTTCAAACATGGGTGTTTTTCAGCAATTTGTCGCTGTGTTTACAGCGGGGACTGTGGAACAAAAAACATCACCATGTGTCCAGCAGGCATATTGTCATAAAAAAAAAAGTAGTTGTTGTTTTACCAAGACATTGCTGCACTCACAGCAGGGACAGTCCTACACCAGGTACTTTAAGCCAAAAGATGATCTTTTTCTAACTATAACCAGGTAGCTTTGAACCTAAACACACGTTAACCACAGAGTTGTTACGAAGTAAAATTTCAGTGTATTCTGCCCTGTACACTGCGTTACTCACTAGCATCAGTTGGAGTCGTCTCAAGTTACACTTCTGTAACAAACATAAACAAAACTGTCCAACTGGAGGAAGATAAAATGATGATACAGGTATAATATGAATCTAGAAGACCTGAGGAATTTGTTATGCTAGCCTAGCTACAGACATGCACACTTTATGTTAGTCTCATACGGTGGTTCTGACCTATTGTAACTGAATATCTCACTGGGCTCCATAAACTGTGTTGGAATCACATCAGTCAGGTCTGACTGGAAAGATGAGACTCTTGTGGATTCAATGAGCCCAGTTTTATTGATGTGTGATGATGTTAGTCCCCACAGCAGCCATCTTATTGTAGTGGTACCATTTCTTTTAAACTTGGCCTGCGTGTATATAATGACCTCTAGTGACCTTGAGCATAATCACAGACACAAACTACAAATGCATTCTTTTAATGATTTTTTTTTTCTGTGGTGTTCCTCTCGGTCTCAGTGTTAATGTGATATTCTAGCAGATTTTTGAACATTTCTATCAGTTCTTGAGGGATAAAAACTCACTTAAATTTCACACCCAAACTCTGTAACAAATAGTAGCAATCCAAAAATTGCTGCAACAGCTTATGAGACATAAATGACCATTGGAACAGCTGTCATATACTTCCTCATAATGATCTGAGCCCTTATACACTCTAAACGTTGACAATTTGAATAGATGCCGAACCAAAACAAAATGTTCATTACAGATGTACGAGTATAAAAACTTGACACACAACGCTGAGCTGCATCTCAAATTCATCTTCAGGTTTCCATCTTTAAGGTGATGTAAAGCACTTCTATGCTGACCTGCTGTCTCCCACAAAATAATACATAAATGGGTCAATGTGGGTCTCAGAGGGTTAACGAGGACCCTGTCCAGTTTATCGTGAATACACTCCTCAACATGTTTCATCCTGCTGTACTGTACCAGGGCAGTGGCAGCCATTTTGTTGAGGTAATCAGTAACAGCAGCGTCTGTTGGAGCAAAGACGGTGAACTCGTCCGCCTGTTCGATCTCGTCCGTCAAGTTGTAATCCTGAAGAAGACGACAGAGAAACACTGTAAACAAACATCACAGATGTGACCCCAGAGTTAAACAAGGTGTTTGTGTGTTCGTACGATGAGATACGATGTGAACAGAGAGAACTCTGGCCTCAGACCGAGAGTCGCCAGCAGACCCTCACTCCGCTTCCTGTCAGGAACCAAAACCTGCAGACACACAAACACAAGTTCCACTAGGCTGTCGGCTTAGAGCGTCATTAGTATCGTTAGCATTGTTAGCATCATTAGCATCATTAGCATCGTTAGCTTTGCACCTTATCAATGACATGGATCAGTCCATTGGTAGCAGCTACGTTGGATGTGATGATGGTTGCTCCTCCGACAGCTGTGAGCTGAGAGAACAAACACTCTGATCAAATCTGAACATCAGTGTTACAAAATAAAACCTTCTCACACACACACACACACACACACACACACACACACACACACACACACAGAGTCGGTTTCTTCTATAAATAAATAACTAATAAACTACATGAAACCAGCAGAGGTGACAGGACGTTTGGTAACAGTCAGACTTTGAGTTTTATATTTAAAATGAAACTTTAATCTGGTTTAGTGGGCAGACACAACATGAAACCATCTCCTCTGTGGACTCACCTCATTGGTTGTTGAAACAGGAAGTGTTGTCTTGAGAAGGGACGTCAGAGAGGAAGTTCTGCTCAGACTGGATAACGGATAGTTACCTGGGATGACGTGGTTTCTGTGAAACAGGACAGATGGTTAATAAAACACTCTGAACATCAGAACATGAGGCTCGTTAAATGTCAGTTTGTGGTGGCGGTGTCACCTGATGAGACTCGGCAGGTTCCCCTTCATTGTCCAGAAGGCTTTGTCCTCTGAGGACATCTTGCCGACAGCGGCTGAAGACGGAACCAGGAGGGTGACGTTCTGATCCGACAGAGACCAGGACAGACCCGAGTCCTGGAATATAAGAGATCATCTCTGAGACCGAGACCAGCAGAAAGACTCACTGAGGCTAAAAACATGAGCTCAACATAAATCTTAATAAACAGCTGCTGGTACGTGCACATCATATATATATATATATATATATATATATATATATATAAATATATAAATACATATATGTGTGTATGTATATATATATCTGTGATAGACACAAAACATTCATCTCTGTCTGCAGATTAGTGTCATATGTCTTTAAATATTCACACCTTTGACATCATGTGTGTATATTTATGATATAAGTTCATTTTGTTGTGTTTACACTGATAACGTTCTGAGCTGGCACCGGGTGTTAACGTGACGTCAAAAAGACGTTGGACTCTTATGATGTGTTCACACCAAACAGGACGCAAACTTAGCGTTGCATTACTCATGTGAGTTTGAGAGTTGGAATATTTTGTGTTGACACGTCATAGGCGCTTGAAATCGCTGAATCAGTGAATGAACTTCCATTGGTATGTCCTCTGCGTCATATGTCCCTGGAGGATCTCAGTGCTGATTGGCTATTGTGGCACAAATTGGTCACTGAAATTAGCGTTTTTAAAGCTCTTGCAAACAAGTGTACAATGCAAAATCGTGCTAGTGGCTTTATTGGTGCTGCTTAGTCTACATATTTTGAGTCATTCAAGTGGCATCCCTCACGCTGTCTGTCTTTACATAACTTTACATGTGATTCACTCACATGACTCACACACAGTTACTGTTACATACAAATGTATGTTTGTGTTTTATGCATTAAACACAAACATACACTGTATGTCAGGAGTTTCAATCAGACTCGTTACCACAGGTGAATAACATCAAGCACCTAGCCTCGCAGTCTGCATCTGCAAACATTTGTGATACAACATGGGTCATTTTGAAGAGCTCAGTGACTTCAGGCGTGGTACGGACGCCACCTTTCAAATAAGACGGTTATAATATGATGATTATTAATAATAATGATATTTAATACGACAACAAGTTGTTTTTTCCTTGGACTCTGTCTTTAAGTTGTATGTAATCTGTATATATGTTACACCTTAAATGGGCATGTATTAGGGTGTACATCGCAGTTTAGTTGTTGTTAGACACATAAATTTGTGATATATGATCTCATTACTCTGCGTCACAAATGTTTGTACACACATATATAAATGTTTTAATCTGAGATACATGTGATTTGTGTAAATGTGTGATTAGTGCTCAGTGAGTTTCACTATCATACGTATATAAACCTGTGATATACGTTCTCCGTTAGCTACAGTCAGATAAGATAATCTTTGAGTTACACATGTTTGTCCGTCTTCATATTTAGCTGACAAATTATATAAAAAAAAAACAAATAAATTCTGGTTTGATCAGCGAGTTTTATATTTCAGACTCGGAGGTTTGATACTCACTGTGGTCCACGTGAAGAACTCGGACACGTCAGGCAGATCCATCAGCACCTGAATGCATCAGGAACACAGACTCAGGTTTGTTGGTGAAGATACAGAAACATGAACACATGAAGACGCTGATCACGTCTCTCACCTGAACGACTGTACCGTAACACGAGCGTCCATTTCCAACGTAACCTTCATCACAGACACACGTCCACTGAGAGGACAGCAGGCGGCAGCTGGCCTGAACACACCATAGGTTACTGTCTTAATCATCATCATCATCATCATCATCATCACCAGTCTGTTATAAGTCTGATGGTTTTGAAGGTTTCTGGTACTCACCAGGTAGTGACAGCCTCCGTTCACGGTCACACACTGATTCACAGCTTCACAGTCTCGCCCGTTTCCTTTGTATCCGGCTTTACAGGTGCAGTCGCTCTGTTGGGTCGAGAAAAAGAGGAAGAGGAGGAAGATCTGTGTCAGCTGACAGTACTGACAGCACATGTTTGATCGGACATGGTTTATACTCAAACACTGGAGGTATTTCTGAGCAGCTTTGTGACACCAAACAGGTCGTACTCCTCTAACGTCAGGTCTCTAGGATGCGTAATGCTCCGCAACATTTCTGAAGCTAGTAACCAGAGTTCTGAGAGATCTGAAGGGACGAACAGTCTGTTCACAGGTAAATGATTAACCCTCTTTATGAAATTAAATAAAACTCTAAACTCTTCTATGGCAATGACCAGAACCAAAAGTGTTTATAGTTTAATTGCTTCCAAAAGAACCAAGACAAAATCTCCACTAAACTTGATTGAGATATTTTAATGATGACCTGAACTGAAAGAGGAAAAAACAAGAATGACTACGTGGCCAAAATGATTAGTTCTGACATTTAACAGTCAATAGTGTGACCTTTCAAGAACTTAAACTAGGTCAGCAGATGTCTCTTGAGGGGTCTTGGCCCAGTCTTCCAGGGCAAATTGTTCCAGCTCATCCAAACTGCGTGGTTTTCGAGCATGAACATGAACCTTAAGCTCTCGCCACAGATTCTCACCAGGATTGAGATCTGGGCTGAGAGGGCTGCTCCAGGACCTTTATTCTTGTGTCCTTCAAAAGCTTCTGGACTGACTTGGGTATATACTTCGGGTCACTGTCTTGCTGGAAGACCCAGTGATGTCCTTAGGCTCGACTGGCAGCAAATTTCTTCACATTATTCTTCAACATGTCGACATAATCGTATTTCGTTCAACCTGAACAGCAGCAGAATAGACCCACAGCAACACGCTCCTACCATGTTTAACTGTGGCAACTCTTCAGGGTTGAAGGCCTTGCCCTTCCTCCGCCAGACAAAGTCAACATCCATGTGTCCAAACAGCTCAAATTAAGTCTCATCAGACCAAAGGACAGACTTCCAAAACTCATGTCTATGTTTTAAGTGCTCACGGGCAAACTTCAGTGTGCCGTTGTCTTGGACAATGACCTCGAAGCCCACCACAATGAAGAACCCTCACAACAGTCTTCCAAGTCCAGAAGAGGCCAGTTCAGCAACAATCTTGGCAGAGAGCTGAGGATTGTTGCAGACGTCTCGGACTGTTTTCCTCTCTTAAGTTTCTGAAACCTTTCGACCATGCTCAGGTTTGTCTCTACCAGAGTTTGTGTCCTTGTGCAACACTGTGAAACGCTTGGAAATGGCAGTTCAGCTTTCCCCCTTTAAGATGAGCATCCACTGTCTTTTGTCTGAGTTCCAGACTGATTTCTTTCCTTTTTGACATGATGAAATTACTTCTTATCAAGAATTTAAGAGCAGTCCGTCTCAGTCAAGTCTTCCAGTGCCTATAGTCCTGTTCATTGGAGTCCTTTAGGTAATGTTTGGGTGTTTTGAACACTGATGAATGTTTTGCTATGTAAAGTTTTATGAATGATGCAAACATTGGGCAGAATTTCCGGATATTGTTCCACAGTTCGTCAGGGCTGATCATTTGGACTGTAACTGTAGACGATGTTGTTGTCTGTTCAGATACGTGGACTTCTCATGTGGAGCTCATCCATGCTCCATTCAGCTGCTTGGCTGAGAAGCATCTCGCTGTCAGCCTCACCAAGTGTGAGTCTGAGAGGGCGACAGAGATGTACTAAGGTCGGGTGGTTTGAGTTCAGTTTGTCCAGTAAAACAAAGAATCCGAGCTGTTGAACAGTTTCCTCCCCCTGCTCAGAAGAAGGAGATCATGTGTTTCATGGGCCTGGTGGGAAACTACAGACAGACACCGTGTGTCTTCTGTCCTCTGTCATGGCTCATGAGTTGAGTCAGACAACAGAGGACAGAGACGAACCTGAACAGAAAGGGTTTACAGGGTCAGATGACATCACCTGTCCAGGTCCCACGTAGATGCAGGTGGCGTTGGGGTGACAGCCTCCTCTGTCTGCTCCGTCACAGTTGTTGATTGGCTGACAGTCATCTCCGTCCTCCCTCCACCCGGTCAGACACTGACAGGTGTGTGTCCCTGCTCCTGTCTTTATACACTTAGCCTGCAGGGGGCACAAAGACGCAGACACACAGACACAGCAGTGAGGACAAAGGACAGAGTGGACATCGGAGGTTCGTATAAAGAAGCTTGTCTTTAATGTCCTCCTTTTTTAAAAACTTTATTAAATCTGACGTACGTTGATGTTGCAGCCGCCACGGAGGGGTGGGGCACAGGGGTCGGACTCCACACAGGTGATACCATCTCCTTGGTAACCAGGTTTACACACACACCTGAGAACACGCAGAGTATAATGAGGTCATCATGAAGAAGGTGAGCAGTGAACGTCGTCAGCAGCACAACCAAAAACCACAGAAGACTTCAACAAAATAAAAGACTGAGACGGAAACAGGAAACATCTCGTCATCTAACGATGAAGACGTAAACCTGAGTCTGATGCAGATGAGCTTACCTGGGGGTTTGCTGGCTGAAGTCACAGTCTGCATGGGCATGGCAAAACTGAACAACGCCACACGCCGCCGTCCTGCGTTCACAGAACGGACCGGTGAAACCCATCTGACAGGAGTCGACTTTACACCGCCCGTCTGAGTTTGGATGGTTGTCACACTGTCCATGGATACAGGGACACGCTGCGGACACACAGGTGAGGTTTAACACAGGTGAGTCTTCATCATCATGACATCACATCTACCGGGATGAGGTCACAGGAAGAGAGGAGACAGACTTACTTCTGTCACAGTTTGGTCCATATTTGTTGGAGGAGGTGCAGTACTGACAGCGAGAGCCTCCGAAGTTCAGATCACAGATACACGTTCCATTTCCTGTGAGACCCTCCGAACACTACGACAGAAACACACTTCATTTCCTCAGAAACCTTCTGTGATGGTAACTGTATATATATATTGATGATGAGGGCGTGTAGAGGACATGACCTTGGTGTTTGCAATGTGTGGATGTTGACTCTGACCTGACCGTGTCCGGAGCAGGGGGTCTGGTATCCTCCAGGACACGGTCTACAGTCTGGACCATAGAAACCTTTACAACATGCAGGAGTCTGAACAAACACAGAGACACGTCACAGAGTCAGAACATCGCACACGTTTGTTTTCAGTCATCTTCATCACAGCTGATTCTTATATGATCTAATCTTCTTCGTATCGCTGTGTCACTTTACCGTGACGGTGGTGTTGCAGCGCGGCGAGCAACCTGTGGCCGGGATGCGAATAGTCGGTGTGCTGATGGACATGATGTAAACACATCCGTAGGTGGAGGAGCCCTGATGGATGAAGAGATGCACTGTCATGATCACAGACTCTCTCACAAACACAGAGAAAATGAACAGAGTGAGATGTCTTACCATATAAACTCCTCCTGACGAGCACTGAGACAATTTGACTTTAGAGCAGCTCACACATTCTCCCTGGAAACAAAAGATACTGTCAAACATCTCAGATGGTGAAAAGTATTCTCCGTTTTTTGGGACAGAAGGAGTCGTACGTTCATGAGGCTCCTCTCACGAGAATAAATATGTAGAAATATGTAGAACCAAAAATGGACTCCATCCCAGGTTTCTTTCTAAAAATCTCTGGTGCCATGAGAAGACGTCACATTTGAGAGGCTGGAATAAAAAAGTTCCAGAAGAAGGTTTGGATAAAATGGATCCATTGATTGACTGTTGATTGTTACATGACATGATGATGATGATGTCACAGTGAAGTTGACCGTTGACCCTATCAGTTTAAAACTACAGGAAATGTGTCCCTTCAGCTCTGATTGGCTATTGAGGCCTTAACAACAGCACTGGAAGCTCCTATTGGCTCAGTGAGGTGTCAATCAAAAGGTCAGGAGCTCTTTGCTGTCGTTTGTCTGACAGAAGTGTTTACTGAGCCTGCTGTGGTGGTTGGATCTTCAAATGTTTACCATTAATGGAACCATGAGGAGCAACGCTTTACAACAACTTGTCATATGAGTAAATCACCTAAACAACAACAAACACATCAGCCGCTGACATTTCATAATCATCAAATGAAAAAAACGTGAAGACCCGCAGACTGGACATCAGATTTCTATGAGTAAATCAACAGTAAAATGGACGCTGTAAAAAAACAAGGATGTAAACAGGAACACTGAAAACAAACATGGCTACCGCTGAAGCTCACCTTGACGATCTTGTTCTCGGTGATGTCACATCTATGGGGCAGCACAGGTTCAATGGAGGGTGGAGTCAGAACTCCATCCAGCAGATACAGACGGCCGTTTTTAGCTTCCACTGCTGCCTCCAACACCGCTGCCCCGTTCACCAAAATCTGACCCTGAACAAGAAAACAAACAAACAAACAAACATGGAGGACCAGTCTGATTCGTCCCTACTCGTACTGTCAGAATGGTGTTTGGAGGCAGTCCTGATATAGGATAACGAGCTGCTGTCATGGTAACAGGGATTAAAACAGAGGGAACGACTCAAAGTATCCCTGAGATGAAGTCAAACGGACAGAAAGATCCAAACTTACATTTTCTGTCACTTTAATCCTCAGGATCTGATTGGCCATCGTGGTGATAGTGGGGTTGGACACGGCGTTAAAGACTTCCAGCTTCAAACAAAGAACATAAGTCATCATCACAATGTTTGATGGACACAGAACAGATTTACTAAATCAAAGTTTGACTGACCGTGGTGGAGGAGACGATGTGGTTCCTCAGCAGCTCCACCAGTTTGTAGTGACCCTGAAGGTTCAGAATAAAAGACTCTTTAATCACTCTGGTGGATTAGATTTAAAGTGTTCATTAAAATAAAGTAGTTTCTGACCTCAGCACTGCTCAGGTGCTGCAGGTGACCTTCAGGCATCAAGTCAAAGGCTGAAGTGCTGGGAGCAAAGACGGTCATTGGACCAGGTCGGTCCAGGACGGACGCCAGGCCGGCTTTCTGCACACAAACACAACATCCACTGTGGGAAGGCTTCACAGTTCACAGACCTCAAAACATCCACCTCACAGTACAGACTTCTCCTTCAGTCACTGTCACACTCCTTTATTCACTAGCTGTTGTCCAACACATCCTCACTGTGACCTCGTCACATGTCCACGTTTGGTCATGGACTTTCCACGTCCACATATGGCGTCCAAGGTACCCTGGGTGTGTTGGTTGTTGACGTTCTGGGACGCCGTGTCAACTTCAGCCTGTTACATGCATTGTCTGTTTTCAAAATACACTTCTGTTTTCACAGGAAATGTACAGTTTGATACAGTCTCTTTCAAAATAAAAGCACTACGTCAGTACAACACCACCAACTGATGTTTTTTTCCTTCAACAACACACACGTGGTTACGTTTAGCCGACACACACACATGGTTACGTTTAGCCAACACACACACACGTGGTTACGTTTAGCCAACACACACACGTGGTTATGTTTAGCCAACACACACACGTGGTTACGTTTAGCCAACACACACACACACGTGGTTACGTTTAGCCAACACACACACACATGATAAGGTTTAGCCAACACACACACGTGGTTACATTTAGCCGACAAACATACATGGTTACATAAAGCCATATATACATACATACATATACAAAAATTCATGACAAATTATTTCCTTGAGTTTCATTTAGGGGTGAGCAAGTCAACCACCATGTGTATTGTATTCTGAGTAGATAAGAGTCTGAACAGGAAGTGGGTTTGTCTTAAACAGGAAATGGGTGGTGTCTTATTAAAAGTTGATATTTTCAGGTTGAACAAATGTTGCTTTGTTGATTACTTATTGGAAAACTCTTTAAGACCAACCTCAGGATTCAGCTTCAGATCAGTTTCGATAACAGGAGGAAGAGACTGATCACAGCTATGCAAATACAGAGTTTCAGAGGTACAGATATTGAAACATTTTACACAGATGATAATTGCACCCTTCTTCAGTTGCAGCTACTTTCGAACATTAATCAGTGAAATATTTCAGCGTTGTTGAGTTTTACTGCTCCGTGTGTTCAGCCTCATTATTTCAGTAAATATTGATGATCACAGAACTTTAACTTAAAACTGATCAGAATGATTTTCATATGATGGAAACATCAGAACTTTATGCTCCCTTGATGTGATTAGGATGTTTAATATGTTATCAGATTTATATACGTCTGTCAGAGTCAGCAGAGAGACCCGACTCCGAACGTGAACCTGAACCTGAAGCGTACGTACCTCTAATAACGACTTGTACTTGTCGAACTTTCCGTAGTCAGAGATGATCTTCATCAGGTTCTCCTGTTAGAACACAAGTCAGCGATCAAGCCGATGAACGAGTGACTTACTGACACATACAGTTCATCAGTTCATGGTTTCACCTGTGGATCGCTCTCCACGGTGGGCGCCACGCTGTCCATCACCTTATTGATGATATGGATCATGCCATTGGACGCCAGGAAATCGGCCTGGACAATCACACCTCTCTTCTTGCTGCCGTGGATGCGGATCTTTGTCTGAGAGTCCTGAGAGAGAACAACACAGATGGTTTAAAGACGTGTTTAATGATCCAAACATGTGGAGGTCATGAAGAGGACAAAGAAGAAGACGAAGAAGACAATCGTGAAACTTCTCTAATGACAGGAATTATTTAACAACATTAAAGTCTGAGTTTGCTTCAGATCACTGTGTTAAAGAACTTATTCATTCATTAGTAACTTTTATTACAACCTTGTGTCTGTTTCCTTTTCAGGGTCCATGTTGGTGAAACACACATTAAAGAGTTAAATAATCCAATTTATGCTATTAAGATTTAAACTGAGACATGAGACAGGAGAGAAAAATGTAATTCATAATCTCTTGAAAGTACTTTTGTTTTTTCCTCATGACGGCTTCATTTTGTTTGTTTCTAAAGTTTCTCTAACATCTGAGTTCGTCCTTTGTTCGTCCTGAAAACTTATTCAGAACATTATCGTCATTATTAAAATGTTCCTGCTGATGGACGAAGCCTGTCCGTGTGTCTCACCCCCTCCGATGTGTCAGTCTGTGCTGATTTTCCAGTCAAAGTGTAGAAGACATCGGTTTTCTTCAGAGTGTCAAAGGGCATCACCCCGGCAACCAGGTGTAACTTACACAGGTACTTAGCTTTGGACGAGTCGGCTGTCAGAGTCCTCACCTGCTCAACAGACGGACAGAGGTGTGCTTTTTATTTTTTATTCAGACAATGTCCTTGTGAAGATGTAATCTGAATGAAACTTCAAATTAAACTACTGTCTGAGCCAACAGGAAGTATAACGAGCGTTGACTCTGGCTGAATGAATAAAGAGCAGACAGACGAGATCTTACGGAGGTTCCTCTGAAGCCTTTGTTGATCGGGACAAAAACTGTGAAAGGACCCAGATTCTGCAGAGACCACGAAACAGAACCTGAAACACACAAAGACAGTTTGTGTTTTATTACTGACGATACGTCAGGCTGACTTCACGTGACAAAAACTGAAGAGACAGGTAGAGTTCAGTCAATCAGTTCTGTTTATATTGCCAGTGAAATATAATGAACGAATCTGCAGCGACACGTCTGAAACAGAACAACCTGAATCCAAACACACATGATCTCACACACACGTATGAACTAAACAGGCTCATGGAAGAGCCTCTACCCTTAGACAATATCAAATCAATCAATCAAAGTTCTGAGATGAAAATACAGAAAACACCCCCAAGAAACACAAGTTCACACCAATTTGAATGTATACAGTGTCACCATGGATACGCTTTGATACACCTCTACTCTGACTGACAGGTCACCCAACATGTTTTCATCCCAACTTGCCAAACACCAGTGCTCTGTCCAACTTGGTCTCACTCTGAAGTTGTCAAAATACGGTGATTGCTTAGTGACTTCCAGCGTCAGACACCAACAAAAACTGTATGATACACAGCTGGTTGCCGTTATTGTTTAACAGCACCTGTCAGCGTCAGCAAGAAAGGCAGCAGGACAACATTGAAAGGGTGCAGAGAAGTGTATGTTGAAAACAGACAATGCATGTAACAGGCTGAAGTTGACACGGCGTCCCAGAACGTCAACAACCAACACACCCAGGGTACCTTGGACGTCATATGTGGACGTGGAAAGTCCATGACCAAACGTGGACATGTGACAAGGTCGCAGTGAGGATGTGTTCATCTGTCACATCAAAATATGACACACTAGCTTAGGTGTCCTCCTACGTCTGTTTTGGATGTTCAGGGACGGCAAGTCAAATTTACGCCTGTTACATGCATTGTGTCTTTTTCTAAATAAACTTACAATGTGGGTAAAACACTTTGTTTTTATGTTTCCTTCCTTCAGTTCAGGCAACAAAAGTTTGTGGTTACATTTAGAAAAATCATTGTTTGGCTTAAAGTACATGCGATTCTTCCTAATGTAACCTCACATGACATCTGTCACTAGAGTGGCACGCTACACATATGAGCACACTACGTTTTCAATAAAATAACTGCACTGACTTTTGGTTTCACACAGGAACCAAACAGCGGGTTGCTGACTGAAAATTTGGAGGTTGTTTGACTCAGAAATAGCTGCTGCCCAGTGCCATGAAGAGTGTCTTGGTGCGTCAGTGTCTGACACCAAGATCAGCTAACAAGGTGGCGGTATTTAAAGAGCTGGGAGTGAGAATGGGCGGGGTCACCATGGTAGTGACTTGTCAATCAGAAGGTAGCTACTCCCCTGATTTATGGTGTTTTACTGTAATTGGAACCATAATTTACTAAATGAACATTGAGCTGTATCAAAGAAATCTTGAGACCACAAGAAAACTTTTACTGAGGTCATAAATGAAGTGAGACATAGACTCATTTACTCATAGACTCATAGAGGTGCCCCCTGCTGGACATTAGAAAGAATGCAGGTTTAAGGCACATCGGCACTGACATCACCTGTCAGAGACAGGTGCTACGTCCACTTCTTAATACAGGCTATGGGTTAGCTTAGCTTAGGTTAGCATAAAGACTGTAAACAGGGGGAAACAGGTAGCCTGGCTCTATCCAACACGTCAAAAGTTCACAGATGAACACCTTCTGTCTCATCTGTTTCATCAAAGAATCTAAATGTTCCTACAGACGTCTCTTCCCATGTGGACAAAAACATTTGTCCAGTGAAACGTAGCCTACTTAAAAATAAATTCTCTTCTTACCGAACAGAGTGATGGCGTTGCTCAGCTGACCGCTCCACTGTCCTCCAGGCTTCGTGTTCAGACTGTTCAGACGCTCCATGATGTCCCCGTAACAGACCTTACCGTTACCAAGGTAACCCTGGAGACAGGTGCAGCTGAGGGGCATGTTTGGACATGTTAAAGATATGTAAACAACGAGCAGATAACAGGAGAGAAGTAAAGAAGGTGACTGACTCGACTTGTCCTGGTCCCACCGTGGTGCAGTTGGCGTTCTTGTGACAGGAAGCAGGTGTGCAGGAATCCTTCAGGCTGCAGCCGCCGTTCGACAGGTGATCAAAACCAGGGAGACACTCACAATGAGACTGAACAGGAAACACACAGGGTTAATTTCCTCTGCTGCCCCCAGCAGGCTGCAGTGGTCATTACAGCCACAACATGAACACGTAAAACAATATGACAATAAAATCATCTCATATTAACACATAGCTGCTCTTTATTATCAGTCTTGTTCTTTATTCTCATCCTGTTTCTGATCCTGAACCTTATTTTCTTCCTGATCTTTCTCCTAATCTTGATACCACTAATGTTCCTAAATCTAATCTTGTTCCTACTGCTGGTCCTGTTCTTAGACCTCAATCCTGATTCCTTTCTTCCATTTCCTCCCTGTTAATTGTTTGGGGAAGTTTTTCCTTATCCGCTTTGAGGGTCCAAGGACAGAGGGTCCAAGGATAGAGGATCCAAGGACAGAGGATCAAAGGACAGAGGATCTAAGGACAGAGGATCAAAGGACAGAGGATCTAAGGACAGAGGGTCCAAGGACAGAAAGTTCAAGGACAGAGGGTCCAAGGACAGTGGGACGTTGTACACTCTAATACCCTTGGAGGCTAACCGTGATTTGTGATATTTGTCTTTATAAATATAAATCTGACGATCATATTTCTGTTCTAGTTTCTGAATCTGTTGCTGAAACATCTTGTGATTCTGAACTTGATCTTGGTCCTGTTTATCGGTCATGATTGCGATCTGATTCCTGATCCTGATCCTGATCCTGCTCCTGATCTTTATCTCGTCCCTGACCAGAGTGTGTCCTCACGTTCCCTGGTCCGTCGTAGATGCAGCGTGCCGACTCGGCGGAGCAGCCTCCCTGTTTGCTCTGGCACGGATCGATGGCCATGCAGACTCGTCCATCCCCGCTGTATCCTTCATTACAGGTACAGACGTGCTGGTTAGGACCAGTATGGACACAGGAGGCGTAGACATGACAGACCCGCTGGACACACGGGTTTATTGCTGAGGAGACAAACATCACAACGACATCCCGGTCTTAAAATGTAAAGAACAGACACTTGTAAAACATCCTGGACATCACCTATGAGACACCAGACTGCCTGATGATTCTTTATAAACTCACATAAACACTGAGCTCCTGACTTCTGGTAACCAGGGAGACACTGACACACCAGCTGTCCCGTCAGAGCTTCTTCCATACAGCGAGCGTTCTGCTGACAGCTGAGGGCGGCACACTCAGGTAACTCTGAAACACAACACAGGTTACAGGTGACATCCTGGCAACCACATGGTAAAATAAAGACTCCATAATAATCAGTGTGAAGACATCAACAGAGCGACTGACCTTGATCACAGTTTGGACCTTTATATCCAGAAAAACAGGTGCATCTACCGTCACCTTTCAAACCAGAGTCACACAGACCGTGGACACATGAGCACACTGCAGAGACAACAGAAGAAGGACATATGAACACAGTGCAGAGACAACAGAAGAACACATGAACACACTGCAGAGATAACAGAAGAACACAAGAACACTGCAGAGACAACAGAAGAAGAACACGAGAAATAAATGCGAAGAATTAATTGATGTGATTTATTTATTAATGTCATAACACGTTACCTGAGCTGCAGGTGGTTCCGTATCGACCAGGTGCACAATCCTCACAAGCAGTTCCTGCAAAACCCACCTGAGATCATCACACACACACACACACACACACACACACACACACACTAATGTCAGGAAAACATTACATTACATACACTGCTACGTGCAAGAATGTCTTCAGTGGGAACTAGAACATCTTGAATGTTGACTACCACTATGAAACCACAGAACCTCCTCAGAGAGATCAGGTAGAACCTAACGGCGGGATGTGGGTCACCTGACAGCTGCAGGTTCCGTTCCCTCCCAGTCCGTCAGAGCAGACTCCTTGGTCGCTGCAGGGTCTGTCAGCACTGTCAGGACACTCTGAAACACAAACATCCACAACAGGAAACAGTCAGCAGACGTTTGCGGAGCGTTGTGACAACGTTGTTCTTGTATTTTCTGTGAGGAAACAGATCCATCCCTCCACTTCCTTCCTCCACCTCTTCCCTCTCTTCGTTCTCTTTATCTTCTTCCTCTCTTATCTCTACGAGTCATCACTTCTTCCACAGATCTGTTTCCTCCTCCTCTCAGAACAAACACTTGTCATCAGGACGAGTTAACACTGTGTCTACCTGTGGACGTGTCTGAGTTAAAGGAACAGTTCACCCACAACATGACCATCTGTATATCAGTTACTGATCCTGTCCCACGATGAGTTCATGGAGAATATTTGGTTTTTCTCTCAGTCCACCTTTAACAACAGCAAAACTACATCAAAACATCAGTTCACAGACCGTCACACAGCTGCTGCAGAATCATCTCTCTTCTCATTTATAAACACTGTACGTACCAAACGAGACCTGAAAGAGGCGTACGCCACTTCCCACAGAGGAGTTGTGATCTATAAAAACAGACCTGATGGGAGAAACTTTGACTCATGCTTACAGACGTCTTGGAGACGGGGAATTGACAACACAGACAGAGAGGTGGAGCCTGATTGTAGAAACTGTTGAATATTTTTTTGGCACACACCGTTTTTGGCTTTTGTCTGTAGGTACATTTTTAGTATGGATCGTAAATATTGTTTTATAAAGGAGACACTTGGACTTCACAAACCCATTTACATTAAACTATTGTGAACTCAGCTGACAGTGAGACGGATCTCTGCTCTAGTCACAGCCAGACTAACCTCAGTGATCTTAGGAGCTGCTGGTCGACATCAGTCAGTGTGTTTGTGTCCCAGGTGAGGTCAGACAGTGTCACAGCTTTGATGGTTTTACATTTAAGATGAAATCACCTGAGCTAACACTATATCTTGTTATATCCTCATGTTGTAGTTTTATTGTTGCGATGATTTGATGTTGTGTTGTCTTGTTGTTGTTACTGCTGAAGCAGGTTGGTGCCATTTCTTTCAAAAACATGGGAAGAAAGGCAACGAGCAAATTTTTCAAATTTTCTTCTTTTGAATTTTCTCCTTATAATTTCTTGCTATTTTTTTTGGGGCCATTTTTTCTTTGGTTGCTCGTTGTCTGCTTCCCATGTTTCTAAAATAAATCAGGCCAGTCTGCTGTCAGGTTTCAAAGGGTTAAAACAAAGTGGTCTTTATGAGTTAAGACATGGTGAGGAGGTGACACACTGATGGTCGTAGGTGGTCGCTCAGCTCCATGTGTGACCGTCAGCACATTTGTGTCCTGCTGCTGACTGAGACACTGCAGAGAGGAAGGAAGTCCTGATTCCTGCAGGACCATCTGCTTCCTGCAGGACTGCACACTCCACATGTGACAGGAGGAGGTGTCACCTGGACGCCTCCTCTGTCACTGAGCTCATCCTGTCTACGGATTCAGTCTTATATATCAGAGCAGCCTCAGGTCCTCAGGTGTGACTCTACAGGTGTGTGACTCTACAGGTGTGACTCTGCAGGTGTGACTCTACAGGTGTGACCCCATAGGCGGGACCCCATAGGTGGGAACCCACAGGTGTGATTCCACAGGTGGGACTCTGCAGGTGTGACTCTACAGGTGTGACCCCACAGGTGTGACTCCACAGGTGTGACCCCACAGGTGTGACTCCACAGGTGTGACCCCACAGGTGTGACTCCACAGGTGTGACTCTACAGGTGGCTGGCCTCTTACATTCAGGATGCTGCAGAGTTCACTCATGCGATTATTTTAAATCATGATGTAGTAACAGTACCTCTGGTGTACCCCAGGGGTCAGTACTGGGACCAAAATTCTCTCATATATATTAATGATCTATGTTAAATTTAAAAAAAACATTAAAATCAACGCGGTCTCACTCCAAAGTCACCAAAAACCGGCACTTGGTCAGTGACTTCCAGGGTCAGAGAGTGACTTTCGCGTAGGCATGATACACAGCTGGTTCAATAAGTTTGGGAGAGTTGTTGACAATTTCATGTTTAAATAAGAGAAGGAGGATTATAGAAGAGTTCACTTCTTCCTTTTCATCATGTCTGTTTTTGTTTTTTTTGTTTTTAGTTTTTGTTTTCATCAAAAGAAAGTCATTCATTCATTCATTCATTCATTCATTATTATGATGAAAAGTAAGAGTGTTAAAGATCAATATCTCGATAGGTTTCAATCAGCAGATGTTCCATCAGTGGAGCCGAACAATTGCTGAATGAGTTCCTGATAATAATCTGACGACAGCTGTGTGGTTAAAGTTTGGTCAGGTTTTGGCACAGACAGTTTTTGGGTAGACGTAGGTGGTCGAAAGAAACCAACATTGACTGTTGCTAGGAGACAGGACGTGGTGTCCATTTTGATTCACTGTTACCCCACATGTAAAGACCCACTGTGGACTACCTCAGGGCTAGTACCTGGTGCCCCTGCTCTTTACAGCAGGTCTAAATTAACACTGATCTCAGGACATTAATGACCCCGTCAGCTGTCCCCCACAGCAGCACGGTCTGCACATGTGCAACATGTTGGCATTGTACGTTTCTGGAAACCACAGATCATTTGTATGTTTAATATGTATCATACCAGTGTTTCTAAAGTGACATAGTATCTGAGCTGACTGTGTCATCAGCAGGTGGAGGGGACGGTGGATGGTGTGACATGTTAGAGACACACTGGCCGAGCTGGAAACACTGTTCAACACCAACACACAACACTGGATGGTTTTATTTCCTGTCACTGTTTCTCCAGCTGAGATTTTTCCCTCCAAAAAGCAAAACCTGATCTTTTTCTAACCCAAACTGAGAGGTTTCTGTGCCTGAACAGAACCACATGTTAACCACAGAGCTGTAAGAACACAAAGTTCCAACATATCTGCAACATAACACTGAAACATATCTGCGGTTTACAGAAACGTATGTATGATGTCAACATGTATTCTGGTTGTTTAGCGCCACCAACAGGTCGACATCAAGCCTCAGTGAACACTGATCGAGGCATCACAAGCAGGTATCTGGACCTCAGACCTCCATCAGTGTATCATGTGTCTGTGTTCTCACCGTTACAGTCCGGACCCCAGAAACCAGGACAGCAGGTCTTCACCTCCTCGTCCCGGTAACACTCGAAGGAGCAGCCGCTGATGAGCAGCTTCAGACTGGGAGTCCTGATGTGGTACCTACACACACACACACACACACACACACACACACAATCAGGATTTATTCCTGTTCTACATCAGAACATCTCCAGGTAATAAACCTGCTGCAGAACTGAACTCTGGAGCTGAGAGAACACATACTAACTTTAAACTGGATCTAAATGTGAATCAGCTGGTGTGTGTGTGTGTGTGTGTGTGTGTGTGTGTGTAACACTGTCTGTAGTGAGTGATGATGTCTGAACCTCTGTGTTGTTTCTCTGCAGGTGCTTTTGTTGGAGCGTTGTAAAAAAACTCACTTGCAGTCCTGAGCGGTGGATCGTGGCGTCTGTTTATATCCTGACGGACACGGCATCAACATGCTGATGCTGCACGAGTGACACGCCGTCCGAGTCCTCAGCACCGTCGAGTTGGAGCAGAAGTTCTGAAACAAACAGCGTCACATCATCATTATCATCGTTAGTGCGAAGAACAGAACTATGTCAATATAATATAATGTGACATATATATATATAAAGAGGACTGAAGCCTTTTTCTGTTGCTCCACTTTCTGGTGCACTTTAAGAGGACTGAGTTCAGTTTGTTTAAAAAGGATGACATGTGAAAAAGGTTCTTCCGCAGAGTCTATAAAGGCAGATATCACTCAGGATATTAAAACATTAATGTAAGAAATATGAAGTAAAGATAATTATGAGGACGCCTCACCTGAAGCTGTCGTTCTCTGTCGTTTACACTGAACTCAAACTGCAGCTCGGTCACTTCCTCTTTAGCTCTGCAGCACTTTGCTTTTTACTGTCACTTTGACACAGTTTGTATTTTGACAAATTCTTTTTGCCTCAGTTCGGTCTCCACATTCACACCAGTAATGGTGTTTTCCTCCCCATCACTGGTCTTTATGGTCACATGAGACCAACAGCATCAGCCTGTACTGAAGGTCATGAGCTTTAACCCAGGTGTTGTCACTTAGTCTGAGAGTCCACAGTCTCACTCTGACTGAGCCTGATTTAAACCACGTTCATGAGCCACACTTAAATGTTAAAGTTTGACTCGTCCACATTAAAACCTGCTCCAGGATTCATCTGAACCAGAACGATATATTTCATGTTCACACTGCTTCACATCAGCTTCAGTGTTTTCTGTAAACATGTTCTGAATCTGATGCTGCAACAAACAAACAAACAAACAGATCTGATCTGACGAGCAGCGCTCGGCCTCTGCTCACTGATCACAGGTCAGTTTCACACTCTCTGCTCACTGAGCACAAACCACGACTTTAAGTGTAAATGTTTCCATCAACATCTGGACCTACACTTGATCCAGAAAGATCTGAGAACTCTAACTCTTCAGATATGAGTCAGGTCACATGAACTGTCTGTCTGTCCTTTTTCATTCTAAAATACAAAGAAACAGACAGTGTTTTTCCAGGACCTCCAGGACCTCCAGGATCACAGACATCAGACATGTTAATGTGGAGCGTGATGGAGCGTAAACAGGAAACTACTGGAACAACTGCTGTGGTTATCAGCTCCATCTGATCCACCCAGGAAACACTCACACACACACACTCGTACACACACACAGGACCTGGAGCAGACCTGGAACAGACCTGGAAGACTTCACAGCAGCACTCTACGTCAGATTTATAGTTTCCAAAGTATCAGATAAAGTTTAAAACTTGTTTTCTAAATGAAGATGCTGCAGCTGATGATGATGATGATGATGAAGGCTGACACAAACACATTCACTGAGCTGAAATATTAAAAATCATCTTTTTACTTTTGAAGAAAATTAACCAACTTTATATTTAATGATGGTGTTCCTGTACCTGCTGTCAAACACGTTCATGATAAAATCAGAGATGAAGATCAGATTGTACCTGAGGAGACGCAGCTGAGCTCATCTTCATCATCATCATCATCATCAGAGGGACAAACAGCAGCTTCAAACTCCGACAGCACTCCATGACGTCTGATCTGAGCTCTGTCTGTCACCGGCTCTCCTCCTTTTCATCCTCCTCCTCCCCCTGCTCCTCCTCCATCAGGTCCTCCTCCTCCTCTTCCTCCTCCTCTCCCTCCATGTGTTTCCTGAACATCCAGTGAGACTCAGAGGAATCTGCTGAGTCAGATTATTTTTACACACCGACACAGACGAGGAAGATCAACATGTTTCTTTTTTTAAATTCTTCGTAACCAAACAAAAATAATCTGAGTTCATGTTTTACAGAAAAACGACATTTTGTTTTTTAATCTTTGACGACGTCACTGTTTTTATGAACGTGACAGAAAAGTTTAAGTGACATAAAAACGTTCTCTCTGTGAGGAGCATCTGTTCGTGCTGAGACCTCCTTCACTGCTCCTCCTATATGAATAATAATAACATTAAACTTTGTGTCTGCAGGACTTTATGAACTCAGTGTGAAGAGTGTTTCTGCAGCATTGAAACGTGTCAAGATGAAAAAATAAATCTGACAGTTGAGGACACAAAAATATCAAACAACAATAACTCTCTGATGTTTCTATAAAATGTTTTGGTGTCACTTTTGTGATTGATCAAGAATCAAAGGGCATCACAGTTAGTGTGTGTGTGTGTCCAGAGAATAGCAGGAAATCCTGGACTGTAAAACGAATCTGTCGCTGGTTTTCTCTTTCCTGAAACTTTCTGCTCCGTCATCAAACACACACACACACACACACACACACACACAGAGTGTGTTCTGCTGAGTGGTCGCACTAACAGGACGGTGTTGTTTGTTTTAAACTCATCATCATTAATCACATGATCCAAACTACTGTCAGCTCTGTGTGACAGCAGTGACACACACACACACACACACACACACACACACACACACACACACATATATATATATCATATCATATGATCAGAGAGTTTATCATCACTGAAGCTTCGTCACACAGCAGCAGAAACACAGAGATCATCATAAATCACTCTGAAATAAATTCCACAGTCAGAAACATCCAGGAGCCTGAACGTGACTACATCATTTAGAATGAGCTGCTATTATGAATCATTATGAAGTGATGATGATGATGATGATGGTGATGATGATGATGATGATGGTTGATAAAGAAAAAATAAAACTATAAAATCTGATTTATCTTTGTGATCATTTTAATGCTTCCTCTTTTTTTATGAACAGGTTGTTGCTGTTGATGAATTTGGTCCGAGTGCTGAGGACTGTGTGTGAGACAGTGTGTGTTTTACCGTCAGTGTTGTCTCCGTCTGTCCGTCTGTCAGTGGTGTCTTTGCTCCGTCTGTCCAGCAGGAGGAAGCAGAGGGATGAAGAGTGATGAAGACTCCTCCACCTGAAACCAGTCTGATCAGGTCAGTTTAAACTGCTGCTCTCACTCTTCATCACGGAGGTGTCACATCACTGTGCTGTATCACTACACACTGTCAGACACACAAGATGTACATGAAGATTACTGACAAAAATTAAATGTATTTTTATATTCAGTCATCAGGAAGGAGCCTATTCACTAGCCAGTGATTAGCATACAGCCCCGTCCATGAATATCCAGTGATGACCATATAAGGAGGTGATAACTACGATGGACAGGTGCATCCTGTTGACCTGCGAACACTTGGAGCCAGTAAAGAGAGAGAAGCTTTTCCGACACTGAGACTGAAGTGTTGTTTTATTTTCCTCTGTTAGCAGTGACAGGGACAAGTGAACCAAACGCCTGGGAGGAGCTAACAGGTGCGTCAACTCTGTGTCGTCTGTTGGAAGAACCGTCCAAAAAGTTAAACTAAAATAGTTCAACATGAAACTTGATGCAACAAAGCACAACGGCTACAGGAGGCTCCGCCCACTCAGCTGTGTTCTGCTTACATCATCAGAGAGACGTCTCTGCCTCAGCATCGTTTGTCTCTGTTGTTAAAGAGACAAGCACTATCAAAACATGACAGTGTGATGTCACAGTGACCCTCATCATCACAGGATCACCCTCCAGCTCTCTGACAGATTCAGGTTCACACGCTGCCCGCTGGGGGCGGAGTCAGACATCCACAGGTCTTATTAAACCAAACCTGAAATAATGTTTCTTCTGTGATCATTAAAGAAGAATCACCTGCAGTTTGGGACTGTGCTGCGTTCAGAGGCCAAAGAAGTTATTTTAGTGTTACACGTTTGTTTTAAGTCATTTTAAATAAGTGTTTTATTTCTATCATGTTTGATGTGTTTCACACACATCTGTGTGTTGTGAACGTTACAGAGCAAAAACTGTAATTTCTAATAATGACTAACAACATTTCTGTTCAGTATCTTGTCGACACTACGATCAGTCAGTTATTAATTCCTATAAAAACATCGGAGCGACGAACATGATGAATAAATTTCCTTCTGACAACAGTTTACACACAAATTCAATCTGCTCACGTTTCATGAACGAGACCCAAAGTGTTTCACTTACAGAGTAACTTTATTTTGAAAGAGTCTGAGTAACGAGCAGAAACTGAACATTTCCTGTGAAAACTGAAGTTTATTTTGAAAAGACCCAACATGTGTAACAAGCTTAAATCAACACGTCATCCCTGAACGTCACATTGAGATGTGTACGTCCTCTGACAGAGCGGTGGTGTTTGATGAGCTGGGATGAGACGCGTTGGTCCGCATGAACCGAAATGTCTTTCTAATCCTCCTTATTTGGTCCATTCAGTGATGACATCATCACTTTAAAAAGCTTGTTTCCATAGAAACGTTCCCAGTGGGTTAAAGGACAGTCCAATAACGTCCGTCCAAACATGACGTGTCAGTTTGTCCTTAAAGGCTCCCATCTGTCTCCTGTCTTCTTTAATCATTTTCTCCAGGTGTGTTGTTGTTGTTATTTACAGGTGTGTTGTTGTTGTTATTTACAGGTGTGCATGTCGTTCATACTCTCGCAGCGGCGGCAGCGGACGTAGCAGCACCAGACGAACTTGCACTCGCAGCGTTGGACGTGTCTCACCAGGTGCGTGTTGTACCCTCGGCCGCAGCACAGCAGGACGCAGCTATCCGAGCCTGTGGACGTCCGGTTGCAGCGGCGTCCTCTGGTGCCGGCGATGCCCCGCCGCCGGTCCTCCACGCAGTAGTTTGGCGACTTGTTGAAGAAGATGAGCTGATGCATATCGACGGCGAGGCGGTGCCGATCCTTCCTCCTCGTCTTCCTCCTCGAGCGGTCCGACACCTGAACGCTCTCCTCGTACTGCTCCTTCAGGTACACGCCCACGCGCTCGAACGCCGCCACCGTCTTCCAACACGTCTTCAACGCACAGGAGCCGGAGATGCCGTGACAGCGACAGTGCGTGGACATCGTCCTGACGATCGCCTGCAGGACAGAGAGCGGAGACGTCACCTGTCAGAGTCTGATCAACAACAAACACCATGTTATTTTATGAATTTAAAAATGACCACGTGTTTCCTGTCGGCGGCGGCGGCGGCGTCACCTGTCGTCCGGCCTCACTGTTGTGCTGGTTGCAGGTGCTCAGCGTGTACCCTCCTCTGCTGGTCGACGTGTTTTTCACACTGTTGTCGATGAACTTGCGGCTGAACCAGATGCCGTACTGGACCTGATCCGAGCAGCCGCCCCAGTGCCAGCCCTCCTTCGGCGAGCCGCCGCCCTGCAGCCGAGTGTCGCAGCCGCACTCCGTCATGTTCCCCTGACTGCAGGAGCGTGTGATGGCGTGGACCAGCCCCGCCGCCATCACCGCGTAGATAAACGCTGTCTCTTTGGTTCCTACAGGACGAGAGAGACAGAAAGGGTCAGAGTGACGTCACAGAGAGTCGGGGTGACATCACAGAGGGTCGGGGTGACATCACAGTGATGTCACACATCACCAAGTCCTGATCCAGGAGGAAGAACCTCAAATATTTGAATTTAAGATCAAACTAAATGTGTTTGCTGAGGGCGAGTGAAGAAGACACACAGACACACAGACACAGACACACAGACACAGACACAGACACACACACACACACACACACACACACAGACACACACAGACACACACACACAGACACACAGACACACACACACACACACAGACAGACACACACACACACACACAGACAGTCAGTCAACACCTCCTGACGCTCCTCACCGCTGGTTAACTCGTATCCAAACACTGACGGCTGCTCTGTGGTGGAGCAGTTCCACCTCTCGTGTCTGAACTGACTCTGACACTCGGCGATGGCGAGCTGGGCGCCGTCCTGGATGCTGGGCAGCAGGAAGGGCTTCTTACGGCACAGCTCTCTCTGTCTGTGGCTCAGAGGGAGGTCAGAACAGCCCCGCTGCTCTGGGAGGCCCGCCGAGGTCACGCCCAACCACCTGAGGACGATAACACACCTTATAAAACCTGCTGCATCACAGGGGGTGGAGCATAAACACACTGCATCACAGGGGACAGGGTCAAACCAGAGATATTGGATAAAGGAGATACCCCACTGTAGGCTTATCCAATGTTAAGATAACGGTTACTCTTCCTGTCTCCTAAGTGGGCGTGGTCAGCTCTCCCTCCAATCAGAGCCTGTTCTCCCTCACACCCCCCCTCCCCACCACAGTGTTGAACAGAGGCTCTGTGGATGTCTGTGTATGTGGATCAAGAAGCAGGTGGAATGAAAATACATTCTTCCTGTTATTGCAGCCTATTGTTGCACAAAGCTTGGGCATTTTTTATTTATTACTAGCGGTAAATAACTGTTTGTAAGCTAACTGTGATTTTACCGCCTGTTTATCAAGATCACAAGATCTCGCGAGAACTTGTTTTCTGAGACGGACAGGGCTCAAACAAAGTTAACTTTCTCTTGATCTGTGCGGATGAAAAATGCAGCTTTAGTGTCAGAATGTTGGTAAGATGTGTGGCTTGTGGAAAACGAACCCAATATTTACTTTAGTGACTATAAGGCGAAAGAATTGACCATAAATTGTGATCACGTTCATTTTCCTCATTGACG